AAGGGATACATATGTGGTGTGAACCAAAAAGAACAGAATAGCATATTATCCAATGTCATGCTGAATTCTATCAACAGAAGTGTTCATGACAACATTTTAAGGAGGGATTAGAGAGATGGTTTGGTTGTTTTCCAGAGGACTCCAGTTCAGTTCCTAGTACCTACTTTGGGTGAATCTAATTCCAACTCTAGGGAATCAGACATCTTTTTCTGCCCTTCATATGCACACACACACACACACACACGTGGGGGGGTATGTGTATATGATCTTTTTAATGTTTAAAGAAAAGGAGATTCATTTTGGAATTAGCCTGCCTGATGAATGTGAGCTGAAAGGCATTTGTCCTTGAATTTGAAGGAAACATTGAATGCTTATGGTTGAGAACAGAACAGAATCACTGGAAAGCAACTGGATGGTTATCAAGGATAAATTGTTCTTACTTCAATACAAGGCACATGGCCAAAAGTGACCTGCTTGACCAAGAGTCTGCAAACATTTCTTCAGTGGTGACTAACTGGCCCTTCTAGTCGCAGCCTGTGGGTTTCTGGGGTTCAAAGGAAACTGGCAAAATCAGCAGTAAATGGAATGACTTCAAGTCAATAACTAGGAAGACAGATCAAATCCAGTGAGTAGCTTAACTCTATTGTGATTTGGAGGATGTGGAGATCAGTAACACACAAGGTAATCGTTTAAATGGTAATCATCTAGAACGCAAGAAAAGAGGATAAGGAAGGAGAAAGCGAAGAGATGCCTGGAGTAACTTGTCTTCAGATCCGTACCATTCTAAACCAAAGACCATCTGACTCTTCTTAGTGTAGTGGCCACAGCCACAGTTTTTGGCCATCCACTATCAGATTTTACTGGGGTTCTGTTTTTTGTTATTGTTTTACTTTTTGTTTTTGTTTAACCCAAACCACAGCTGTTGAGCATTTAGTTGCAGCTGTCTGGCAAAGACATTCTGTTTCTACTTGATATAAACTCTGTGTGTTCCTTTATGAATGACCACTTCCTCTGCTTATCCTATAAGGACTTTTGAATAGCAGAGATATTTACACACGTGAGGGTTGCTACATGGCTGGACACAGATTTCTGAAGCATTGTGCTGCATGTCTGATGTTTCAAACACAGGAATTTGTAATGGAATGTGTTCTGTGGTTCAGAAAGTTCAAGAGCCTAGATCCAGATCTCTTAAGAAAGCCCAGAAAGGTAGAGTGTTGGCAAAGAAACCAGAAGAAGGGAAAGATGGGGTCTAATGGGAGAGAGATGGTGTCAGAGGGTGAGAATGGAGAGAGAGGTGGATCTTCCACCACTTGAATCATAATAAAATTGATGGAACTTCAAGAGGTGGAAGATCAGGCCATTGTAGTCAATGGAAGTAGGGGAGGTCAGTAAGCTATCAGAGCCTCTGAGACTAGAGAAGAGAAGCACCTTAGCACAAAGATTGAAACCCAATATAAAACGAAGACGGCATTGATCTCTACCAAAAAGCTCTATACAAGCTACTACTAACAGCAAGGATGTCAAAGACAATGCTCCTGGCTTTTATTTCTATTAAACCATGTGTCCTAGTTTGATTTTATGTCACTATAGTAGAACACTGACCAAGCCCAGTTGAGGAGAAAGGGATTATTTCACCTTACAGGTTACAGACTTTAATAGAGCCAAGGCAGAAACTGAAACAAAGACCACAGAGGAACGATACTAATTGGTTTGCTCCTCATGTCTTGCACCCCTTGAGTTCCTATACAGGCCTATGTGTCTAAAGGTGGAATTTCCCACAGTGGGATGGGCCCTCATCAATGAATTAACAGTTGAGAAAATGTCTCACAGACATGGATGCAGGCCAATCTGATCTGAATAATTCTTCGGTTGAGGTTTCCTCTTCCTAGGTGACTTCAGGATCCCATCAGGTTGACATCTGAAGCTAACTTTGACTTTCCACCTCTTGCCAATATTTTTTTTAATGTCATAAGTTAGCACAGTTTTGTCAAGAGACAAATCATCTGCCTTTTGTCTTATTATTTAGAAGTCTTGTATAGATAAACTACTCCATCATTTCTTTTCTGTCTTTGCACCTACAATCAATTGCTCACTGCCAGTTTATAATCTTTAGTTACCAGATAGTGGCCAACCTAGAAGGAATGTTATCCTAGAATGTTTCCAAGCCTGTTTTCTTTTCCTAGCAATTAACTCACAACACATGTAGGTTTACAGAGCTCTCTTTGTACCTTTTATTCTATAGGAGTCTTGAAATTACTTGTATCGAGTTAGTAGTTCAATAAAACCCATCAATGGGTTCCACACATTTCTTCCACACAGCATTTCTACATGAAAGTACATCTTTATATCGATTCTGTAAGAAATCTACCCAATAAGGTGGGCTGATGCTCAGGAATCATTAGGCTGAGTAAGAGTGGCAGGAAAGGCAAATCAGCAGCAAGAAGCAATCCTGTGATAATATCTCTGAGAACCTTGCATCTCAAAGCACACCCATCACAGCCATGCAAACAGGTGGGCCATCTCCAGAAAACTCACTTTCTTGACCTAGCCTTTCCTAGATGGGTTCTAACAGAAGATATTAAATATTACAAAGTTTAGCTGTGGCATATGATCCAGCCTTGGCTCCCTCTGGGCCACAATTTCTGTGTGTTGACTTTAAGAAAACACTTCTCAGGAGATTGCATCTCAATGGTGCTGATCTTACTAACCACAGCTGAACTTTAAACCCCAGCTGACCACCATCCTTTGCTCAAGTAAAGCCCAGAATGTTTCACTTCCAAAGATTGTCAGTTCAAATATGTCAAACAAAGAGCCTTGATGGGACTCTCAAATTTCCCTCTGAAATTTCACAAATCAGGTCTTCAGTCCTATCCTCTAAGTTCCCACAGAATGGCCTTAAGCTGTGAATACTCAGTGGTTTTTCCAGCCCAAAGCTCAAGAATCCTCCCCCAAACACCATGCCAAGTTCTATCATAGCAGGACTCTATTCTCTGGTACCAATTTCTGGCCTGCTCAGCTTTTCTGTTGCTGTGAAAAAAGCACTGTCCAAATGCAACCTGAGGAGGAAGTGATTTATTTTAACTTATAGTCTGTCATCTGGTAAGACCAATACAGGAATTCAGTGAAGGAACTTAGAGGCTGATACTAAAGAAGAGACCATGGAGAAATGCTGCTTGCTGGCTTCCACCACCCCCAAGAAATGCATACAAGTCTTCTATAGAATTCAATTTCAGTTGAATTCTCTCTTCTCAAGTATCTCAAAGTGTGTCAAGCTGACAGCTGGCCCTAACTGTGGCATCATGATAATTCAGTTGTATGCTCCAGAAACTTGGGAACAAAGAACTGACAAGTACTCTGTTTGCTGTTCCCTTAATTTTGGTTGAAATAATTACCAAGATATAAAGTTAATAATAGTCTAATAAGTCTCTTGAGCAGGCAGAGGTAGGCACTTTCAGCCCCATTAATATATCTATATTAGATCTGGGATTTGAATGGTATTAAGTTCTATTACACACTTCATCTTGGGGCAGCTAATTATGTTAATATTTTAAAATATAACTAAGGTACTATCTCAATGGAGGCTGGAGCTCTATCATCCCCTTCCACTTAAGTTCTGTCTTATTTTGCTACTGCTGTAATAAAGTTATCATGAGCTTATAGAAGAAAGGGTTTGGTGCTTATAGTTCCGTATGGGTGGATAAGAGTCCATCACCCTCATGGCATGAAGTATGACAGCAGGAAGTCAGGTATGGCTCGGGAGCAGCAGCTGATGGCTCACATTAGACCCACAAATAGGAAGCAGAGAGCACACTGGGAATGGCATGATGCTTTTGAAACTGCAAAGCCCATTCCCAGTGATACACCTCCAACCAACAAGGCCATACATCCCAATCCTTCCAAAACAGTTCCACAAACTGAGAACCAAGTATTCAAGCACATGGATCTCTAAGGGCTATTCTCATTGAAACCACCTGATATGAAACTGATAGATTAATGTGTCTCAAATGTATGGATATTTTATTAGACATTTCCCATAATATCAATAGCAGGACAACAGTACTTGTATCATTTAACCTTGACCATTGTATCTTGGTTTTTAAGACTGAGAAATTGAGGTCAAAGGGTTTTTTTTTTTTTTTTTTTTTGCTTTTCCATGCTGTTTGTTCTGTTGGGATGTTTGCAAGGAACAGGTGTAGAAACCATGGGAGTTACTCAGTAGTTCTTTGTTGCCCCCTATGGAAAAAAATTACACCTATTAAATTAAACATGCAAGTATTTGTAAGAAAAAAAATTGCAGGATTATAGCATAACATTCTGGCTTGTGTGTCCTTGTGTTTCATATAAGTGTCCATGTGTGTGAAATGGGCATGTCTTCGTGTCAGTATGTGCATGTAGATGTCGGAGGCTGAGCTCTGGGGGTCTCATTTGATCATTCTTGACTTATTTTTTGAGATGTGTTCTTCATTTATTCTAGAGCTCTCTGGTTCAGGTGGGGCTGGTGGCCAATGAGCTCTGCTCCACAGCCCTGGGATTACAGACGAGTAACCAACCCAGGCTTTTTAATAGGCTTGAAATGGACACTGGGGATCTCACCTTAGATCCTTTTGTTTGTACAACAGGCATTTTACTGATTGAGCCATATTCCCAGTTCCCTAACATTCTCATTTGTTCCTGCTTGTTTTGCAGGAAAGGAATGAAGCTGGCTTACACTCAATAATAAAAACAACTCTGCTATCTGATAAGGGTAAAAAAGCAAGGAAAAAACCCTACTAACGTGGAAAACTCATAATGCTAGGAGGTAAATGGTGGATAAAATATTAGGCACATGGAAAGTTATATTCCATCTCAATTTCCACGAATGGTTTTTAGAAGAAAATGCTAAAACTTCTCACCATCAGAACTGGCTACAGTTGTATCTCTGAGGGATTGACCTCATCTGTCCAGCCACGTTTCGCAATCAGTGGACACTTGAAACCGCTGCAGCTGCTGAAGACCTCTGGGACGGAAGATGCATGTGTGAGGAACATCCCAGAAACCAGAGAGGAAACGAAGATGTGGGGGTTCTGTTGTTTTCTTTGTAGATGTGTAAGAAAATAACTCTAGAATGCTGACATTGTTTTCTGTTTAAAAAAAATAGAAACGTTTATATATGAGAACCTTAAATTCATCTGCCAGATTTCCCAGAACAATCATGTAGACGGCTTCCAGCAAAAAGGAACATGAGGTCAGATGTTCCCTTCACAGAGACCAATGCAAAACTAGATGAAACGTTAAACAGATAAAGAAGGATCATCCTGAGGTGCTGATGGAAACACTTGAAAAAGAAACCTAATTGGAACCATTTCTTGATAAAAATGGTTTCTTTGGTGGAACAATAGCAAGCACCTGGTGCTCCCACTGGAGGTGCCTTCATCTCCTCTGCAGAGCCTTCTGTGCACCTTACATAGGGAAAGAGCTGATATACTCAGTTTGGAGCTAGCAGCAAAGCCCCACAGCTCTGCCCCTGGAAGTCAGGGAGTCATCAGACCAGTAAGCAGACTAGGTTGAAGTTTATAGAGATAATCTAGACACTGAGATGCCAAAGACCAAGAAAGTATAATCGTTTCCACACAAGGCTGTGATTATGTTTGACTCTGAAATGGCCTCCATAGGTTCATATTTTGAGCACTTTGTCCCAAGCTTACAGAGCAGTTTTGAAGCCTGGCCTGTGTAGCACTTTTAAGAAGTGTAGTCTCTTGGGTGGCAGAGGTGGGTAGGTCTCTGAATTTGAAGCCAGCCTGGTCTACAGAGCTAGTTCCAGGACATCCAGGGCAACACAAAAAAAACTCTATCACAAACAAACAGACACACGCACACAGGTGCGCACACACACACACACACACAAACAAACAAAAATGTGTTCTACCTGGCAGAAGCAGATCACCAAGGGTAGGCCTTTAAAGGTTACACCAGAGTCTGGTTCTAGACCATCTTCGGTCCTCTTATATGAGCAGAATCTGGCCTCTACAGGCTCTCTTTACCACCATGCCTTCCCTCCACCATGATGGAATGAACTCCCTCCAAACCCATGAGCCAAAATGAGTATTTCCTCCCCGATTTATTTTTTTCTGCCAGACATTCCATTCTTAAGGCAAAGATGACTGAAACTCCTGTCTACAGAGCTTTGGATGTGCGGAAGACATCATGACAGATGACAAAGTTTGAAAGCTTAGGAGGGATATGAGAACAGCGCCCTTTCTTGGCTCTCACCTGGGTCATGCAGCAACTGGGAAAGTCCTTGCATGACTTAAGTGTCGGCATTATAATCTCTGCCTAAATGGTTGTGTGATTTCCAAAGTCAAAAGATGCTCTGGAGAGCTATAAGGAGTCCATCTCAGTCTTTGTCTGCTCAACCGATCCAGTGACTCAGTGTCACTCAACCATGGTTTCCATGTGGTTGGGGTTATTTGGAGACAACAAAAAGAATCACTTATAAAACTGGTTATATTATTATCCAGAGCTAAAGGTAGGCGTGGTAGTTTGAATATGCTTGGCCCAGGGAGTGGCACTATTTGGAGGTGTGGCCTTGTTAGAGTGGGTATGGTCTTGTTAGAAGAAGTGTACTTTGAGAGCTTCCTTCTAGCTGCCTCAGGACGCCAGCTTTCTCCTGTTTGCCTTCAGAACAAGATATTGAACTCTCAGCTCCACCTGCACCATGCCTGCCTGGGAGCTGCTATGCTCCCTCCTTGATGATAATGAACTGAAACTCTGAACCTGTAAGCCAGCCCCAATTAAATGTTGTCCTCATAAAAGTTGCTTTGATCATGATGTCTGTTCATAGCAGTAAAACTCTAACCAAGACAGTAGGGTAGTGATGGGCATGCATCATAAAACACACGCCCAATACAGACATATAGAACAAGGCAAGTCAAGACCCTCACTCCACAGGGAAGAAACTGGAGCAGCATGCACTCCATATGTACCCACACCAAAGGCAAAGGCACAGGACTGTTTAAACTGAACATGTCCTAGTGACAGGTGGGCACAAGCAAGGATCAATGAGCTCATGACCTCTTCGCCTTCCTGACTGGCTTTCAATCAAAATAGTCACATATTTAGTGAAAATGATCTGAATCAAACTCATCTATCCAGTTATGGTTTTCTCTCTTCCAGCTTTCTGACGAGATGAGATAATACACCCATATAATGACTCATGAATAGTCACACACATAAGTTTGTGCCACCACCAGCAACTCAAGAGGCGTTCCACTCCCAAGCCAATGCATCCAGCAACTGCTTTGTAGACACTTTAAACATCTTGAAAGAAGTGAGAGAAGTCCATCTAGCTGATGTTTAAAGGTTCAGTGTAAAAGTGTTTGGGGCTTTCATAGAAATTCTAGAAAAGCTAAAGAATTAGTCTCAAGAACCAAAAGTGAGGTGGTAGAAAATTACAGCTGTCCTGGCAGACAATCTGTCTCAGGATCACAATGACATCACCACTACCAGAAGATCACAGATGCCCAAAGCACTGGATGCAGCCACTGAATCTCAGTATGGTTGCTCAATATTACCACAATAAACTTTTCTCTTCTTTCCTTTTAGCAATTACCTTCCCTAGGTTGAAAGGCCCAAGCAGGAATATCATAGCTGAGTATCTCTGCTTTACCCAGGTTTTCTCAGGGGAGAAAAAAATTTTGGGGGGGTTTCCATAATGGGCAGTCTAGTCTTGCCATTGACCAGGGCTTAAAATGTACCTACTGCTCAATTACCATACTCAAAGAATTGTGTTCTGTTTAAGAAGGCTTGCATGATGGTTCGGGGTTGGAGGAGGTTCTTGGTTTGAGCACAGAAAACTTCAAAGAGTGGGAAAAAATGACTCATAGTGAAGGAGAATAGTCCCTTAAAAGACAGCCTCTCAGGAGAGAACATCTGTGATGAGAGTGGCTCTGGAAGGTTTTGTGAGCAAAGACTATCTCTCAATGACAAACAGAACATCAGATTTATTGCAGGTGTTTTTGTTCTATGCCTTGGGACTAGCATTCATTTTAATATTCATCAATTATTATAAGTCTTAAAATTTTGAAATATTCAAGCTTCATACAAGATCTTTTTTCATACCCCAATAAAACATTCTAGACCAACATAAAGCCACGACATGCAAGCTCTTTATGCAAAGATTCCTCTAGTTGATTAGTCTTTGTGTTTCCCCGGATTGTACCTCATGTCCACATCCTTAGCACCTCAAACATCATTCTGTACATCGGCCTGGTTGATGGTCACCTCGTTCTAATCCTGGTTGGCCTTATTATGAATCACCAGCCTCCAGAATCACCAATTCTTCTGTTGGACATCACCAGCCTCCAGAATCACCAATTCTTCTGTTGGACCTCAGGTTCTCTTCGAGCCATACTCTACTCTGGGGGCTTTACTGTCCCTTTCCCTCAAATCTAAACTGGCCATATCTGTTCAATTTTTGTCAAGCATCAAACACTTACTCTGATAAGAAACACTTTGCAACTCTGTTAATATTTCAACTGTTGGTTTTCAAAGTTAAGGGAGAAATCTGAAGTGCCACAAAAGGGATCAACCATTAGAGACAAATGAAAAAAAATTCATATCACCCTTTGCTTTGGATTTCTTGTTTGGGATCTTGGAGTTGATGCCATTCAAAATCACACACACACTTTATTTTATGGCTGCTACAAGGGAGAGAAGCTGAAATTGAAAGAAAGTACTGAAACACTTAGATAAATGCTGGGAGAAAAAATACCTGGGCTGTTACATAAACCACCTTTGAAAAGCGACTACATCAAAGAGGAAGTTCTCCTTCTGTTTCCTGTATCGACTCTGGCATGTGATGAACCAGTTCTCACCAGCCATCCTGAAATGCCCTGGAAAACTTCTCCCAAATACAATCAGGTTTTAACTGCACAGGAGAATAATGGAGCCTCACCAGGCTTTCATTGTTACCCTAATAACTTGGTAAAGTTGTAGGAGCCAAAAGGCCAATGCCAGCTTAGGCACTTCCCCAGAAGCCTAGCAGGCTGGCACTTGCCACAGCTGCAGCACTTCCCCCTTCTCCCTCGACCCCTCCACCATCCCTGCACAAGTAGAAATCCCCCTTTCTGCCACCTGACCCCTCCCAAAAAGACACCACTGGCATCAAAGGCCACAGATCCTCACTCTAAGAGTGCCCACATCCTGGGAACAGACAATATCAGTTTGAGAAGAGATAAACAAACAAACAAACAAAAACCAAACCAAACAAAACAAAACAAAACAAAAAAAAACAGTGCAGCAGCCTCCATGCTGCCTGAAGCTGGTACCCTCTCTGATGGATGGCCAAACACTACCCAACACAAGTGGCTTATGGCCTTGGGAAGAACCATACATCCTTAGAGAAAAATCATGCCAATTAAGAGTTCCCAGGCAGCTGCGACTGGTTTGTAAAAACATTAAAACTTTTTCTTATCCACCGCTTCCCTCCCTCTATGCAACCTGTTTGTATATATTCCCCTACACTCCTAGACATGGGGTTGCAACTTCGCTTTGTGCAACTTTCGGTCCAAACCTGAGTTTGAAATAAAAGGCTCTTATGTATCTCTACAGCAGATATGGCAATTCTTTGAGATCTCTTGGAGGTTCCCAGACCTGAGCATAACAAAGTCTTTATGTAGAATCTTAAGAGAATAAAGCAAAGGAAAATGAGAATTGTACAAGTGTGTTCCCACTCAAGGATCTCTTCAATGGAGCTTGCTATGAAGAAGCCACTGTTCATGGCAGAATCTAACCAAAACACAGCAGCAAAGCACGGGCTGTTTGCATGAAAAGGAGAGAGACATACTTCAACAAATGCTTCAGTTACTCATTCATGAATGACTGGTGGTACAGTATGCCCATAATTTGTCAAATGTAATAGAAGGCCATGAGTTTTGTGGCAGCAGAGAGTGGGGAAGAGAAAGAAGTTTGTTTTCCCTGTTTCTTGCTATGTTGTTCCGAAGTGCATGATCTCCTTTCTGAGATAAATATATCCTTCCATCCCATTCCAAATCATCAGAGATTGGGGGAGTTGCAAATTTATAATGGATATGTGTCAGCTACACCAGCATAGCTGACTCAGTTCCTTGGATCGGGGGAGGGCTGAGGGCGAGAGAAAGAAAGACAAGGAGTCATCTGGTAAAGACCAAATGCTATATTTTCAACTGCATAGCTCCCTTTTATACTCCCCACAAAACAGGAACAAAACAGGAACAAAACAGGAACAAGGAGATACACTTGGCAGCCTATCACCTAAGTTTGGATTTCTCTTCAAGCAGTCTTTTTGGGGAAATGCATAGAGACAGGGGAGCTGTCACAACAGCACAGGTGCAGAGGATGGTGACTCACAATTCACCCTTTTTCTTTTAATTAGAGGCCGAGTGGAGACAGAGACCAGACCCTCAGTGAAAATTGGGGATATTGTAATGACCCCCAGCCCCCTGCCATTGTACAGTGAGGTGGTATGGTCATACCCATTCTGGTGTCTTTTTCCTGAGGAGGGGAACTGTATCGACACCAACCCCTATGCAGCCAGGCATGTCTCTCAGGGAAACTCCCTTGCAGTCCCAGCTGCAGCTCAGGCCTAAGTGAATGATAACATTTTTTGTAACATAGTCAGCCACACTTGGGCAGAGGGATCCCCTCGACCATATAAAAGCACCAATCCTCACACAAACAGCTTGAGATTGTACCTGTTGTGTCTGAAGATGGCACAGACACCCAAAAAACAAGCATCAGCAAAATTAGGCTAAAGCTGTCAAGGAAGTAACTCTGGCCCACTCTTTCACCAGCATTCCTACTTCAAGAAACATGCTCAAGATAGATGACCCATCAATAGGATCAACTCTGGTATTATTAACTAATACAATCTTATTAAAGAGCTGCCGAGTAAGATAATAATAAGTAGCATTCCAAGAGCCAGAACTCAACTGATTCAAATACTTAACAGAAGAGGAAGCATTAGTTACATGCACGGGTGTAACACAAATGGCATGAAAGAAGGGATCATAGCTAACAACATGTCTGGTGGATAACATAAAATCTACTTGTTCTTGAACCAAAGCAATTTGTTGATTTGAATCTAAAACAGCAATATGAAAATGAGACTGAATATCACTCTAATATCAATGCATCTGTACCCTCCCCAAAGGTTCATTCAATGTCTGACAGTGATAAGTAACCATTTTTCAAAACATTCAAGGCGACATAGCAAGTCATAATGAGAACCTGGTGCTTAGTAAACTCTTGGCTCCTTCTCTCTTTTGTCCAAGATACATTTACTTCTAGGTTTGAGTACTCCCCAACCTTGAGATCTGAATGAGTCCTGACAGCTGACACTTGTTGAGCAACCTGGTTTGCAGAGTTGACGAGGAACACAGTCCTTTTTGCGTGCAGATTGATGTCACCCCTAATCTGATGGGCCAGCTCTTTGGTGAGCAGAACCTCGATGAACATCTTCCCTGAGCCAGTGTTCAAGCACACAATGGTGTTATGGTCCAGAGCTGCCTCCAGCAGCTCAAACTGGTATTTTCATGACTTGCTTCTTGTTGCCATGGCCGTCCAAAGAAAGGACCCATTGGTGAGGGAGCAGGGGTCATGAGCTGCAGGTCTGCCATGCTGAAGGGCTGCAAAGCAGGGCTTTTGATTCATAACCTCACAGCATGCCCAAGTTTCAGCTCTCAAAATGCTGACTCTACATTCTTTCAGAGTTTCCAACTCTGTATATATGTATACCCTAGGTAACCTGCAGCACTGGGTACTGCGGGCCTTCCACAACCATCGGACCCTGCTCCGGCGAGCATCATAGCCCAGGCCTCCTGGTGCCGCCTGGTTCCAGCTGTCAGCTGTCAAGTTACTCCATTCACCTGGGCCCAGCGCTGCCCGCAGCGAGCATCACACCACGCCCCCTCTCTTTTCTCCTGGAGCCCACTTCCTTTCCTCTAACGGCCCCTAAGAGTTCCTCCTCCTTAGAAGAAGAAGAATCCCCCAATGTAGATGAAGAGGAAGAAGAAGATCCACATAGGGACTCCCTAGTCAATTCCTCCTGAACTTCTCCAAGAGTTTTCTTAGCCTCCTCAATTTGTTCCTTAACCAATTCGTTTTCACTGACAAGGGCATCCCTAACTAGTTTCCAAACACTGCAAACTGAGAATTTTGGAATTCTTTCATAAATTCTTCAATAACCCTAGCTTCAACAGGGGTTCCCCACAGAGCCAGAAGAGTAGATAGTTGCTTAGTCAGCAACTCCTTACTATGTGCCAAATCCATGGCGTTTACTTACCCCGAAAACTTACCTTCGGTTTGTGCCCAATGTGTCTCCTGTCTTAATGCAAGCCCCGGAGACGGCCCGTCAGCAATCGTCCTCATCTTTCCGATCTTGGTGAAACCTCCACTTGTCAGCTACGCCAGCATAGCTGACTGAGTTCCTTGGATCAGCGGAGGGCTGAGGGCGAGAGAAAGAAAGACAAGGAGTCATCTGGTAAAGAACCAAATGCTGTATTTTCAACTGCATAGCTCCTTTTTATACTCCCCACAAAACAGGAACACAAACAGGAACAGGAATAAAAACAGGAACAAGGATCAAAACAGGAACAAGGAGACACACTTGGCAGCCTACCACCTAAATTTGGATTTCTCCTTGAGCAGTCTTCTCAGGGAAATGCATAGAGACAGGGGATCGGGCATAACAGCACAGGTGCAGAGGATGGTGACTCACAGATATGAAAGATGCAAATAAATTAGACAACTGGTGGACCAGAAACTGTAGAGAATTCTTGTGTAGAAAAAAAAAGCTAGAAAAAGCATGCTGAAAATGGAAATGTGTCCTAAAACACGGGTCACAGAGGACTACAGTAAAAGAGAGGGATCGTAGACATAGATGATTATAAGGTACCTTGTGTGGATGGTAGAAAACCAAACTAAGGTCTTTGGCAAGATCAGTAAGTGTTCTTAGCAAGTCATCTCACCAGCCCCTATATTATTCATCTGTAACCCTAACAATCTTTCTGGCAGATGCCCATACAGAGATACACACATATTCACATAATTAAAACATTTCAAACCTAATAATTTTTAAAAATACATCAGTGATCTCTAATGCTTTATATGAATTTGTCACTGAATTGTTTTCCCAGAGAATAAGATGTGCTGTTTTTATGAAAGATAATTATACAGTTGTGTGACTAAACCTAGAATTGTTAGAGCAGGTGTTGGCAAAGGCAGGAACACAAACCTGCTCCAAGGGGAACCTGATTTAGAGATACTTGAGAGAAACCATATTTTATTTTTAAAATTAAAACATTAATTTGTGTCCACACCAGTGTTCCCCAAGCTTTGGATCAGCTTCCACAAGAACTTGGGCTTTCTGTTTATTCGGGGATAGCCTAGATTGCAGGCTATCAAAGGGCCATACTGTTGCAGTAATATTTTAAAACGGCAGCACCCAATCTGGCTTGTTCTTAATCAACTGCCATCTTCTCGACTAGACAGAGCCTGTTGCCACAACCAGTGGCATGTTCTCGCCAGTGCCGCAGCTCACGCCGCCAGCTCAGGTGGCCAGAGACAGCAGCCTTGCCACCCACAAGACGCCAGCGTGGGAGATGGCTCTGCCAATCTTCCACGCTGTCTCCACAAGGCTGGGCTGGGCCCAGACCATCCCGCAATCCACGCAGTACCAGGTAGAAATGAGACTCTAATGGTTAAAGATTATCCAATAGCTTTATATATTTGGTAACGCTCAATAACAAGATGCCCACACGATTAGAAGTGTTAACCAATGAACTAACTTAGATATAAGTTGTTACCAAGGACTGCTCCCAATACATGCATGGTTCTCCATCCTCCCATATCTCTGCCCTTTAGCTCCTCCTCTTCCTCCCCTTACTCCTCCCATCTTAGCTCCTCTCAACTTTCAGGGAAAATATGTCCTACACCATGGCAGTAAGATGGACTTGCATTCACACCAGTTCTTTCAAGAGCTTTAGTGGTTTAATGGCTTAGGCTTTGTCAAGTGTGGTTTGTGGGAACTAGAATATATCAGCCTTGATAGTAAACTATCAATAGCTATCATGATACGGGTACTTAAAACCCATCGCACATTTCTGTGCCCCAGCCCTAGGAGAAGATGATCACTTCGTCTTTTAGTTATAAATATTTAAACGTTTTTTCCCCTTTGAAATGACAAAACATATTTTTCCAGCATGACATGTGAGACAGGCAGCTCTTGCTTTTTCCCCCGGCATCTCTCCCATCATTACTCTTTGAACGCACTTTTTCTCAAGAGAACCCAGTCTCCCACAGCACGGTTGAGTCCAGTGGAATCCTGGGGAGCCTGGACAGCAAGCCTGTGACCCAGGAAAAGACACTGTTTATCACTCTGAAGGTCAGAGCTGAAGATGATCTTACTTCAATAGTGACGGTTACATTATGGAGACAGAGCTCAGAGCTGTCTGCATATGGCTCCAGCATCAGGGAGAAGCAGAGATTGGAGAAACTACATTGGTATTCAGACAAGTAGAAGTTAGAGGTTATGGGCACCTCAGTGTGTGTCACTCGTTTGAAGAATCCCAAGTTAGTTTAGATGAGAACTTTCAGGGAGTTACATCAAAGGAGATGGGTAAAGATGAGCAGGCAGGGTCCACAGACAGCAAACGTCTCTCTTTTGACTCCCTAAAAGGGAAGACTGTTTAGGGAAACTCAATACTTGACTCATGAAGGTAACATTATATATTACATGCACACAGAAATATGTACATAGTGTGCATATGTGTGCATGTATAATATATACTTATTTATATAAAGTATAAATTTACACAGTGAGAAAACAAGAATAGAGAAAATGACATTTTCAGTGTGTATTCATGTTCACATGTGTGCACATGTGTGTGCAGCTACCCATGCAAATGTGAGAGCGTGCAAGTGGAGGTCAAAGGCCAACATTATAATCTTCCTCAGTTGCTCTCCACGTTACTTTTCTTGAGGTCTGTCACTGAACCTGGAGCTCACCAATTTGGATAGGCCAACTGGCTGGTAAGTCCAAGGCATCCTCTTGCCTCCACTCAGCACTAGGATAACAGGGCCACTAGGATTACCATGGAACCCAGCTTTTCCAGAATGGCTGCCATGAATCTGAACTTAGATCCTCAGGCTTGCCTGGTAAGCACTTTACTGACTGAGCCATATATCTGACCCCTCATTGTGACAGAGTATGCATGTGTGTGTATGCCTATTTGTGTCTAGGGTGGGGAGCATACATGTTTGTGGGTGCAAGTGTGCCTTTTTGTGTATGTATATAATACAAATAAAATTCAAAGAATTTCTTATTTTATGAAGAATTTTTGCTCTTTTCCTTCAATAGCCTTCTCCTCCAAAGAAAATTAACTAATTGATTAATTGACAGGGGAACTATTAACAAAGAACAATTAAATGGGCCAAATAGCCCTCAAAATGAGATCTACGTTAGATCCTAATGTATATATGATCAATCGAGATTACAGATATGCCACTTGTCCCACACTGCCTGGGCAATTGGGATGGGGCAAACATTTTAAATAATTAGCATATTCATAAGACAGATTTCCAGGGGATGTGGCAAACCTCATTGGTAGATCCTAGACCTTGGAGTGAAGATTTTTGCAAAAGTTTTTCTTGTATTTGTTTTTTTTTGGGGGGGGGTTGTTTTTCTGACTAATTTAGGTAAAGCATGAGAAACTTAATAACCTTACACAACACAGGGGCCTAATGTTTCAGAGCACAGAATCCCTCAACTTGGGGACCAACACAAAGGAAAAGCAACTGACAAATAAAGAAACCAGCCAGTTGTTATTCATCTGCTGCTGTGAGGCTTCCTAGCAGTTATTTAATTACTAAAAAACAAAAAAACAAAAAAAGATCATCTCCTTCCTGATGGAATATTCTTATAACAGTAACTTAGCACACAATCTCAAAATTGTAATTCTGCCAGTCAACAAGCACACACATCAGTTTTCTCATCTGTTGTTGGGGGCTTTGGATTCTCCTCCTCCTCCTCCTCCTCCTCCTCCTCCTCCTCCTCTTCCTCCTCCTCCTCTTCCTCCTCCTCTTCTTCTCATTCCTCTTCTTCTCCTTCCTTTTCTTCTTTCTTTTCAATTACTCACTTAAATGCCAAATTTTAATCTGCCAGAGCTTCATTTGACCATTATTAGTGAGTCCAAAGTTAAGAAGGATTTAAATCAAATAAATAGATGAGAACCAGAAGAGAAAGTCTTCTTTGAAGAAATTGGTGCTCAGCTATTTAAAATGTTCATTTAATTTTATAATAATGTTGCCAGATAATTGTGGTTATTTAAAAATATGTACCAAGTTCTGACTATGTGTTAAGTGAGTTCATTGAAGCATCTGTGTAACGAGTAAGCATAGAACTGCAGTGGGCCAACAATCATTTGGTGTCCCTGATGTGCATTGCAGTGCCTGAGGGCTGAGACCCCAGGAAAAGCTGTAGACTTTAGGAGGTTCTTAGTAGACCCAACAGTGGGAGCTACTTTACACAAACCAGTCTTGGTTGTTGCCCCATACACAAATATCAATTATGCCTCTGTGTGTGGAGTTGCCTCTGTGCGTGTGTCCGTTTGTATGTGTGCATGCCTGAGTATGAAGGACTGCCCCTCTGTGTGTGTGTGTGTATGTGTGTGTGTATATACAGACCCAAGTCCCCTTGCACATAGTGTGACAATGTTTTATCAATAAACTACATTTCCCAGCTTTCAATAATGCCTATGTTTAAAAGTCATAGCACAGTTTTAAGTTAATTATAACACATTTGTCAGTGTGTCAATTTGTCAATGAGACCCTTGCTTCAGGAAACTTTGGATCTTTCTTTTCACAACAATGTATGCATACATCACTGTCCCCACTTCTCTGACGACTGAACCACTTATTTTGTTTACTAACTCAACTCATGCATCATGGGATGACTAATGTGTGGTATATTCCCAGCACACAAAAGTGAGAAGGATATATTCTGTGGATGCTAGGAAGTGCTTGCTGATGGGAGACTGATATGGCTGTCTCCTGAGAGGCTCTGCTAGAGCCTGACAAATACAGAGGCAGATGCTCACAGCCAACCATTGGACTGAGTGCAGGGTCCTCGATGTAGGAGTTGGCGAAGGGACTGAAGGAGCTGAGGGGGTTTGCAGCCCCATGGGGGAGAGCACAGTGTCAATCAGCTAGACCCCCCCCCAGAGCTCCTGGGGACTGGACCATCAACCAAAGAGTACACATGGAGGGACCCATGATTCCAGCTGTATATGTGGTAGAGGATGGCCTTGTTGGACAACAGTGGGAGGAGTGGCCCTTGGGCCTGAGGGTGTTCGATGCCCCAGTGTAGGGGAATGCCAGGGCAGGGAGACAGGAGTTGGTGGGTGGGTGAGTGAGCACCCTCATAAAGGCAGGGGGAGGGGGAATGGG